ATTCCTGCATCCCTCACACAGTGCTGTATCAGCTTAGTAAAAGAAATACCGTTTTTCAAGCAGCTAACTCAGAACTGTACAGTTTGAGTCTCCCCTGCCTTCTGCCTAGCAAGTGATTACCACCTAAAGAAAGGAGATGAAAAAAGGTTATACAGCACTGCCATGAACATGAGCAGGTAGAGAAACCCACAGTTTATACAGCCTCCAGCACAACAGGGCTATCGCCCTAGCAGTAACAGCACGTGCTGGTAGCATTTTATACTTATTCACAGACAGCAACGAACAGCCTGTAAATATAACAGTGGAGAAATATCTAGCACCAGCTTCTCGCATGGCTTACCAATCACTAGCTGTGATGAAAGATGGGAAACAGCTAGCTGTCTGACATTCAGCACCTCTAGGATATCATACTGGTTAAAGGCTGACGGAAAAGAATGGAACTGGGAGGTGAAGGGAGACAAAAATCTCATGGGAGGACAAGTCACACTAACAGAAAGCTAAAAAAGTGTGGGTTTTACACAGGACACGCACTGATCCCTGCTGCATTTTTTTTTTTAAAAGGAGTGTTTCCATCTCTGTCATAACCGCTCTGTAGCTAGGAAAGAAAAAACCCAAACTGCCCTATTTATTTACTTTGTAATATTCTTAAAAATAAAAGAATTGCAGGTTTCATCAAGGTAATGAAAGTAAGCTTGCCGGTGTGGAAATTCCTAAGTTCCAGAGCGGACGGGGGCTCCTCCTGACCATACAAGTGTACGGCCACCTTCTTGCAGCACAGACGAATGCAGCTGGTAAGAGAGGCGAGAGAAAACTGTGAAGGGACTTGCTGAAAGTTGCACAGACCAACGTGAAGCCCCACCTCGCGAGAGATGGGCTGGGGAAAACGGAGCAAGCCAAAAGGATTCTTTCTCCCAGCGGCAAGGAGCGTGGTCAGAGCACGTGTGCTGGTGTGCGTGCAGGATGGCACAGGAAAGGTGTCAAGGATAAGCCTAGTCTTGTCCTGCGTAAATTGTGGCCCACAAATATGCATTCCTGAAAAAGGCTGCCGGTTCAGGTTGGGGGGGTGCAATTAGCACAAGCTGGGCAGAGTTCTCCGGAGGGGCTTGAAAGGGACAGAAGTGGAGTAGAGCTTGAGGAAAGCAGGGAAAAAAACCCTCAGTAATTATGGATTGGATTGGTCTTCCCTCTCCCCAGCCCCTTCCCTCTTTCACCTCCCTTCCTCCTCCTCTGCCTTTCTCCTCTCCATCTCCATTCACTGTTTCTGGGAGCCTCTTAGCCCTGGAGTTAAATTAATCAACAGGATTAGGTGGATTCGGCCACAACAAGACCCTCCAGGCTCAGACTGAGCCCTTGATGCTCTACAAGGACCTGCTGCCTTGTCTTGAAGCACCTTGGTGCCGTCTGGAAGGATTGGCAGACAGGATCAGACATGAAAACGCATTCATTAAAGTGGGGATCGGATTTTGTTAGAGGGTAAAGGGGAGCTGCTCGTTCTTTCCTTCAGCATTTCTCATCTCTTTGTCACCCTCTCCCCTGTAACTCATTTCCTCTCTCTTGCTTCCAGCTGCACCATCCTAAAAATTAAATGCGTGTTGGAGGGGACAGAGAAAGAGGGGGAAGGGAATGGTTCTCTGGATGGCTTAACTGTCCTGCACTTTTTGTGCTGCAACTGGCTTCAGCAAACTCACCCAGACACTGCTGGAGCAACAGCAACATGCCAGACTGACTCCCTGAAACCCACTCTGGAGGGGACCCACTAGGAAGCAGATTCAGCCACCGGGGAGTTTGGATTTAATAGCACAGGAAGGGTAGGAAGGGCTCACTTTGAAGGCACCAGCAAGAGCTGAGCACCGCCACATGCTAGAGCCCCACACCTCTCAGTCCTCCTGGATCCCCAGTTCTTCAGAGCTCTCCATTCCCCAAAGCTGCCACCCTTGGTGGCCCCAACAGCTACCCCTGCACAAGCGTATGGACACACGTTTTCCAAGTCACATTTATCCCTGAAATTCAGGCCACATTATTTCATGCCAGAGGACAATTTAAGAATTTCTCAGTGACCTTGGAAAGGATAGGCTTCACCTGCCACATGAAGCTTTTGCTGCCTGACGTTGCCTTAATAACTGGAGCCCCGGTATCAGTCTCAACAGATGGAAATATCTCCCGATTGTGGGCACTTTGTCATGAGGACCTG